TTGTCTTCTATTGATCTTCATTTGAGAGTTTTAGATTTTGTTTTGGGGATTCTCTGTGTCCAATTTACCTTTGAATAACCTTGTAGTGCTGGCTTAGTTGTCATATATTCTTTTTGTTTATCCTTGTCATGGAAGGAGTTTAATTCCCCATCAAATATGAGTAAGATTTGGGCCTGCTTTTTCCTCTGTTAGGCACAGGGTCTCTAGTCTAATTCCTACATCCTTGATCCACTTTGAATTGAATTTTCTGCATGGTGAGAGGTAGGGGTTTATTTTCATTTTGCTGCTTATGGATTTCTAGTTCTCCCAGCACCATTTGTTGAAGAGGCTATCTTTTCTCTAATGTATAATTTTGGAGCCTTTGTCTAGTATGAGATAACTTATTTGTATGGTTTTCTCTGTGTCTTCTGTTCTGTATCATTGATCTATATATTTATTTTCGTGCCAATACCATGACATTTTTGTTACTATAGTTTTGTAGTATAGTTTAAGGTCTGGTATTGTGATGTCTCCTGCTTCACTCTTCAAAGTAGGCCCAAATCATCATCAAGTCAGATTAGGCCCTTACTTCCTTAATAAGACTCCTAAAATGCAAGAAATAGAATCAAGAATTAATCAAACTAAATTAAAAAGCCTCTTCTTAGCAAAAGAAACAATCAGTGAGGTAAAGAAAGAGCCTACATTTTGGGAGCAGATTTTTGCCATAAGCATGTCAGAACACTAATCTCCAGGATGTAAAAAGAACTAAAAAAACTTAACATCAAAAAACCCAAACAACCCAATCAATAAATTGGCTGAGGAGGTAAACAGACACTTCTCAGAAGCAGATATACACTTGATAAACAACTATATGAAAAAATGTTCAACGTCTCTAGTAATTAGAGAAATCCAAATCAAAACAACTCTTAAGATTTTATCTCACACCAGTCAGAATGGCAGTTATCAAGAATACAGACAACAGTAAATGTTAGCAAGGATGTGGGGGAAAAGGCATACTCCTACATTCCTGGTGGGACTGCAAATTGGTGCAACCACTCTGGAAAGCAGTATGGAGATTCCTTAGAAAACTTGGAATGGAACCACTGTTTGATATGGAAGTTTTGAATGTTCTTTTTCTGGGTGGGGTTAATTCAGGCTACCAGAAATAGAGCTGAGAGTTCTATCTGATATCTCATATTATAAAGTCTTTTCATTCTGACTGTTGAATGCACAGACTATTTGTAGCTCTATGTGTACTTCAGGAATCATTCAGCCTGCTTCTTTCCCTGTCCTGTCCTGTTTTCCTCTCCTATAATGTACTGGATAAATACTTAGTCAGAGACAGAATAAAATCACTCTGTAGCTCTGCTCAGTAATCTCTCTGAATAAACTGTACCCTTTGCCCTCTTTTGTTTTTGCACCCAAACCTAGTCACCTTGGATTATTCAAATTTTGATCTATATCTTCTCACTTAGCAGGATTCTCATTCTTTGTTTGCATTTCTATTTCTCCTGTGTCTTCAACCTTCTCTAGACAATAAACTAGTGCAATAGAAAGATTTGTCTCATTTGTTTCTTTCAGTGAACACAGTTCTGCTTTTGTGCAACCTCTGAAAACTGTTCTTTCACATGTAGTATCCTAGTTATTTAAGGAGAGTAGGAAGAATCTAGTTCCTGTTTTTCTATTTTAGCCAGAAGTAGAATTCCAGTAATGGTTTACTCATCTAGGTAATAAATTTTAATAAAGAATCCAAGTGATTTTTTTTATTGTGGCAAGATACACATATATAAAATTCAAAATTTAAACCATTTTTAAGTGTACAGTTCTGTGGCATTATGTACATTCATATTGTGCATTCTTCATCATCATGCATCTGTAGAACTGTCTCGTCTTGTGAAACTGAAACTGTCTTAAATACTAACTCCCATTTCCCTCTCCTCCTGTCTCCTGGAAACTACCACTTTATTTTTTTTTTCATCTCTATGAGTTTGATTTTTCTAGGTAGCTAATATACATGGAATTGTACCATATTTGTCCTTCTATGACAGTTAATTTCACTTCACGTACTGTGTTCAAGGTACTTTCATGTTGTGTCAGAATGCCGTTCCTTTTATTCCTAATAAGGCCGAATAATATTTTATTGTATGTATATGTCATATTTTGTTTATCTATTTGTATTAGCCATGGTTTTCCAGAAAAACAGAACCAGTTGTGTGTGTGTGTGTGTGTGTGTGTGTGTGTGTAAAATGTGTTGCAATGAACTGGCTTACATAGTAACAACAAGGCTGAAAACTCCCAAGTTTGCATTATGGAAGGAGAGCTAATAGTGTAGTTCCAGTCCAATCCAAAATTCTGTGAGAGAGCTGGTTGTGTAAGTTCCAGTTTAAGCCTGAAAGCAGGAGAAAACCAATGTCCCAGCTCAAGGATAGCAGGACAGAAAGTTCATTCTTCTTTATTCAGCCTGTTTGTTCTATTCAGGCGTTCATACCATTAAGTGAGGCCCACACATCCTGGAGAAGGAAATCTGCTTTACTTCATCAACTAATTCAAATGTTTTATCTGAAAACATTCTTACAGACACACCCAGAATAATGTTTTACAAAATATCTGGGCACCCTGTGTCCTAGTTAGATTGATACATAAAATTAACCATTACTCTATTCCTTTGTTGATGTATACTTGGGTTGCCTTTACCTTTTGATGATAATGAATACTACTGCTGTGAACACTGGTTTACAAATATCTGTTTGAGTCACTACTTTTAGTTCTTTTGGGCATGAAAGAGTACTTTTTGTACTACTCTTGCATATGCTTAGGTTTAGAATTCTAGTTGCTAAATCACTTTAATCACTAGAGCCACGTTTCAGAAAAAGACAGTTGTGTCATATCTGATGCAAATTTAGGTTGTATGGATTCAACTGCTCTATTTTATTGGTTATTGAGGGAATTTTCTATAGATATCTTTAATTATACTTGATTTTGGAGTTATCCACTGCATTTAGAACCTGATTTCAGAGTAAAATACAATTTTACAGCATTGCTTTCTTTTAACAAAGGAGGAAAATAATTCTGACAGTTCCTTTCTATGTATCTTGTCAATGCTAATGAAATAAAAAATTTCTGTATCAGGAATTCTAGTTGACAGTGGAAAATTTTTAAGAATTTCGTTTTTAGTTTAGTTTGTCATTTGTAGGAATATTTTGAGCAAAGCAAAAAAGCACATTTCTGTATTCACACTGTTCTTTGTGGAGAAAAAGGGAAAACAGAATATTATAAGGTTGATAAAGCAAACAATTAAGGGAGCAATGAGTTAGGTTTTGGGAGATATGTTTATTTAATTAATCTGATTTACATTTTTGTATTATATATATTTGAAGTTTATTTTTTTAAAATTTTGATTTTCGAAATGATTCTGATGACATACAGTGAGAACTTTTGTCACATTCTTATATGAGATACCATTAAATACTTGTTGATAGACTTATTCCAGGGCTGGAGTAGTAAACATACAAGATGAAACTGGAGCTCACAGAAAGTAAGAAAATGCTCAAGAAAACAGATAAGATAATATTATGTCAAAAGGTCACAGGAGACAACTAGAAGAGCTTACAGTGACCATGGCTGGAACAATTTTGGAGGGAAAAAAGCACAGGATTGAATTTTTACTTAACCTATACAATAAATATCCATGAGTCTATACTGATATAAATGATTAATAGTAATTTATGTAAATGTGGAGAGATAAATTTTCTATACATAAGAATTATAAATAATGTATGTAGATGTTCCTTACTCCAGGAGGTAGAGCATAATTCTATCCTTATCTTCTTGAGAATGGACCAGATTTAGTTGCTTTTAAAGAACAGGTTATATATAAAAAGAGAAAAATAGTAACTTAGTGGAGAATCCTGGAAAATGCAACCTTAACCACGTGATAAGGTTAACATCACCAGTGATGTTCTGTGGATACATGTTCCTCTTGACATGATGTATTAAGAAGTTCAGTTTCCTTTCTGGTTTTCTTTCCAGAAACTCATAATTCTAAACTAGTGAAAGGATAAACTTCATCTATAAAAACTTCAGATATACTTAAATTGAGGACAGTTCTACAAAACACCTGATCATTATCCTAAAAAAATGTTAAGGTCACAGAAAAGAAGGAAAGGAAGAAACTGTCACAGACTAGACAGAGGAGACCTGGGAGAAATGATAACTTTGTGCCATTTAGATTCCTGAATGGAATCCTGGGACAGAAAATGATCATTAATGGAGGAACTGGTGAAATATCAATAATATCTAGGCTTTAGTCAGTGGAATATGCCAAAGTTGGTTTCATTGTTTTGACAAGTGTATTATGGCCACATAAATGTGAACATTATGGAAACTAGGTAAGGGCATACAGACACTCTGTGCTATCCTTCAAAATTTCCATAAATCTAAAACCATTCCAAAATAAAAATTTGGAGTTTTGTTTATTTTAAAAAATCATTTGCAGATTTATTTTTGATTGTGTGAAATCAAACCTTATGAAGAATAAACTATTTTGTGTCAATCAGTTTTCTCAAGTTAGCATATTTCTTCTTACTATTTCCCCCTAAAAATGGAACAATATGCTATATTACTATTAGATTTTTCATTACAAATCTAATGTGATTTACTGTTAGATTTATAATAATTGTCCTCATTCATTCATAAGGTTTTATTTGGATGTAAGATTTAATGGTCTTTTAAAAGTGATATTAATTTCTAAAACTTACAATAATAGATCTCTATTTTGAAGAGAGGTTAATTTAGTATAGTGGCTTATCAGATATAAGTCATGATTGTTTTGAGAACTATTATTTTTAAAGTACTTATTGTGCTTGATCATAATATAGCATTTTGGGACTTAAAATTAACTGCATTTTCAGTTAAAAATATATAAAAACTTAATAGAACAAAAGAATACTTAATAATTTAAAATATAATTTTTATTGTTAACTATGAAATGAATATAAATAAGTTTCATATTTCTTTTCTAGACTTATTATCTAGAATAGATTTGGATGAACTAATGAAAAAAGATGAACCACCTCTTGATTTTCCTGATACCCTGGAAGGATTTGAATACGCTTTTAATGAAAGTAAGTGGTATATGGTCTATGCAAAATTTATTTTACAATGTTAATAGCATAGGATTGATATGTGCTTACCTTGAAGGTCAGCTAGAATGTTTTATGAATTTCTTTTGAGAAATAATGACTTAACCTTGAATGGTAAAATCCTTCACTTGAGTGAAAGAACCAAGTAACAATTTTAGTTGTCAAGTCATGTTAACTGATTGAGGTGAATTTGATTCAGTTTATGCTTTTCAACCTTGAGTATTCAACTCTCTGATATCCATTGGAAACTCCTAACTAAATTATACTGAAAGATGTTACTGTTTCACACAGTAAAAGTGAAGTTGCTGGAAATAATTATCTGTGACAATATTTTAAAACAAAGTACTCAATTTTCCATGATTTTTAAGGCAACATCCTTATCTTAGAATTTACTAATTAAGTTCTAATAAGAATAACTTTTGTACTTAAGATGTGGAAAAACATATCATCAATTGATTAAAGTATATTTCTGGAATAATAAATAACATACTGTCACACTTGAAAGGTGATGTTATTATAGGGTAGGTGGCATTAGAGTTGTAGTTTTCTACGTGTTGCTCTGCATTAATCAAATTGATGATCTGTCATCACTGAATCAGTGGATATCCCTTTATAGGTGTTAGGGCTTCAGTCTCTGAATGCTAGAATATTGAGTGAGTTTCAACAGAAGAAAATAGAAACTTTGCTTTTTTTCAGATGTTAATTTTCATGATTTTTATAAAGAATATTTTATACCAATATATGTGTAAGTAATAATGTTGTGTTGCCTCGTGGGGAGTAAATGTTAAAGCAATTGGCCTATGGTTCATTTCGCTCCTGATTACCAGAAGAATATTCCCAGGAAAAGATAGCTAGTCTTTTCTCCTTGTAAACATGCTAACAATTAAACTTTTTAGTAAATCAGATGAATATTTGCTATGAGTAGAGTCTTTTGTCTGCGGAATACTTTCAGCAGGATGACTGGTTTAACATTACTCATAGTAAACAGACCTATGGTGTTTGTTGTATGGGGCATATAGCTCTGAAAACTATCACATAAGCAATGTAAGTCTTTGGCATATAATATGGAAATATTTTATGATCACATATTCACCAATGTGTCAAGGTATCTGTCTACCTCATGTAAGTGACCTTATTTAGTTTGGGCTAAAGAGTACTATACTGTGAAAGGAAAGGCCCTTGGGGGAAATGTCAGAACATCCCCGATCTCTCCCTGTTGTACTTATGCACCTTGATTGCTTGTATGCTTGAGTTATTAGTAAAGCTTAGTCATTATCAGTAAAGACCTCTGATTTGTATGATTTGTTCATCTAAATTTGTAGTAGCTCACTACTTCTCTCCAATTTCCATTTGATATCTTACTCATATTTCAAGACCTACTTGACAAATGTAGAAACCTTCTGAACCTTATTCTAACCTGTAGAGATTCATCATTTTCCCAAAATCATCCTAGACATTATTGTCTGCATGAATCACCTGTAGAACTTTTTAGATTGTTTGTTTAATTCATTTGGGTTTGTTTAACTTTCTGAAAAATTATTTAGCTTTTTAATGCTTATGCTTTTATTCCACAGGTATGTAGGCTCTATGCTCCTTGAGGACTAGCACCATTTTGATGGCAATATCTGGTAGAGATTCTTATTCATAATAGGACCTAAAATATTGATAGTGTGCTTCATATTAGTAAAATGAAAATCAAGAATCGCTTTGATTACTTAGGGACTATTGTTCTATAATAGCAATGGGCATGTACCATTTTGAAGTCTGAAAAAGAATTGGGGAAAAATAAACTGTTCTGAGGAGAATGTTTAAATTCTTATCAGGCATTATTTATTTTACTTTGATATTATTGTAAATTAACTCTGAATTATAGCAACATTCTTTGTTGTTTTTTAGAGGGGCAGTTAAGACACATAAAAACTGGGGAACCATTTGTTTTTAATTACCGGGAAGATTTGCACAGATGGAACCAGAAAAGATATGAGGCTCTGGGAGAGGTATGTCACATATACTCTTTTAACTTTGTGTTTTCCAATTTTAAATATTCAAAATAAATAAATGCCGTGTTCTTCTGACGGCATCTATAAGATTGTGCAGGCTCAACCTGTTATCTTATAAGCAGTATAAAATCTCACAAAGACCCTTGAGAGTTATTGACAGTATTGTCTAGCATTTATAATTTGAATATATTCAGTGACCAGAATAATTTCTGCCTTATATAAAAATTATGCTATGTACATATATGAATGTACCACAGTGAATTTCACCTTTATGTATCTCCATAAAGCAGGAATTTAAAAAATAACTATGAATTAATAGAAGAAAGAGCAATAAGTATAGGAAGGAGAACAGAGAAAGGTAGTTAGGGAGCCAAAGGGGAAGTACTAGGGACTAAAGTAGATCAGTTTATATTCCATGCATATATGGTTATCCAAAAAGAACCCCAATATTATGTTAATTATGATACACTAATAAGAACAAAAAAAGTTATAAAAAAATCTTTCCCAGTTCCACTTGAATTATATGTGTAAACTGGTTATATTTTTATTATAGAATAATCTTTCTATAATGGCCTTGTAGTATAGCTAGTGTTTTTTAATTGATTTTAAATGTGGCTTATATTTTACTCCTTTTCATGAGCCTTGTGTACCAACTTGCTTGGACAAGTTGCTGTTTTCCAAACATACCTTGTCCTTTTTTGGCATCTACATTTTTTTTTTTACTCTCAACCTGTATCCTTCAACATCATTTGTGTCTAAACCCAGCTTGTGTATATTGTTAAATTATACAGTGTGTGAATGATTTCTTTCTCCTATGATTATATACTTAATTATTTGGTTATATGGAGGTCACAGAGTTATTCTTGGTGGACTTTATTCTATGAGACTTAAAATAATTTTGAGTTTTCATTTTAATTATTATTTATATAGTGAGAGCATATTCTGTATTATCTACATTACCACCACTGTGCCTGCATTCAGATTTGTGTTCATGATCAAATTGGCTCTAATTAATCACCCCAAATCACAGCAGTTAACTATTATTACAATGTTTTTAGATTAATGTTTTATGAAGTTAGTGTTTCTTAGATCAATTTTTCATATCTCTGGTTGTATACAAAGTATATTCACACCAATTTGTGTCTTTATACGTGTACTTTGGATAATAGTGTTCATCACATTCCACAATCATTAATAACCCCATGTCCCCTCCCTTCCCCCCAACCCCTCTGCCCTATCTAGAGTTTGACTATTCCTCCCATGCTCCCTCTCCCTATTCTTCTATGAATCAGCTTCCTTGTTTTGTTTTGTTTTTTAGTTTTATTGATTTATTTTTTAAAATACATGACAGTGGAATGCATTACATATATAGTTTTTTATATCTTTGTATATGGAGTATGTTCACACCAATTCATGCCTTTATACATGTACTTTGTTTTTTTTTTTGCATTACAATTCTTATTACACATATATACCACAATTTTTATATCTGTTTATATATAAAGTATGTTGACACCCAATTCGAGTCTTCATACATGTACTTTGGATAATGATGTCCTTCACATTCCACAGCCCTTACCGGTCCCCTGCCCTCTTCCTTTCCCTCCCCTCTTCCCTGTCTAGAGTTCATCTAATCCTTGCATGCTCCTCTTCCCTACCCCACTATGAGTCAGCCTCCTTATATCAGAGAAAACATTCAGCATTTGTTTTTTGGGGATTGGCTAACTTCACTTAGCATTATCTTTGTCAATGCCATCCATTTACCTGCAAATGCCATGATTTTATTCTCTTTTATTGCTGAGTAAAATTCCATAGTGTATATATGCCACTTTTTTTAATCCATTCATCCGCTGAAGGGCATCTTGAATCAGCTTCCTTATATCAAAGAAAACATTGGCATTTGGACTTTTGGGATTGGCTAACTTAGCATTATCTTCTCTAACTCCATCCATTTACCTGAAAATGCCATGATTTTATTCGAAGGGAGGCCTTTTTTATCTTCTGACTTTGATTTCTTTTTTTCAGTGTCCTGTGATTTTCCTGTAGAGATCTTTCACCTCTTTGATTAGATTTATTCTTTCCTGTGTCCTTATAATATTTGTTGTATAATAAATGAATGTAATAGAATTTCATACATTGTTAAGTATAAATTCTGAATATGTATATTTTAGAAGAGTTTCCTAAATTTAGAAATTCAAACATAAAGGGGGATATTTTATTATTATAAGAAAGAAAAACTATAATGTAACTTTCCTGTTTGTAAAGCTAAACAACTTTTTAATTATTTCTATTTCAATCCAATTTAAGATCATTTTGGACTATTAAAGCTTTATTGACTAAGATTATTTGATAGAAATAGTATATATTTAACATTCTATTAGAAAATTTTAACCTTTATATTGAATCTTCAGTATAATTTAGAAAGTGGAAGATCTTGTAGAACTAAAGAGTTCAAACAGATAAACTTATATTTAAATTCTAGAAGTATCTTAGTATTTTGTTTCTAGTTTTCTATTTCTAGTTTTTCTGCATATAGATGCACTGAAATCATCCTCTCTCTTTATCAGTGGGTCAAGGGGAGAAGTCAAAAGAGAGTACAAATCTGAGTTTTCTCCCTAAATTCATGCTTTAATAAAAGCTTTTGATATGCTTAATATTGAAGTTTTAAGGAACATTTTAACTTCAACTGGCAATCTGGAGAAAAAAAAACCCTTCTGTTTTTGTTTTTTTTTTAGCATTTTTCTACTTAATACCAAGTTTTGTCTTTAGCTGAGAACTATATATATGTTTCAGAACTGCTGTTTTAGTTTATGTTTATTTGTCTCTTAAAGAGATTATTATAGCAGTCATTCAGCAGAAATTGTTTTTAAGATTTGTTCCTGGAATACTCTATCATTTCTATGTAAATTAAACTTATTGTATAAGTAAAATAAATTGATATGTCAGTTTGATTTTACAATGCCATTCCATATTGCACAAAAGAATACATTCATACAATCATATTTCTATAGTCAAACAAATGCTTTTGCTAATACATATATATTTTATACTATCTATGACTAAAAATACATAGCCCTTATAAGTTTTGATGATTTCTTTAAATGTAGAAAGATACTGTCAGCTTAAGGAGGTGGGAAAGTGGTATTAAAGGGTAATTTTCAAAATAGAAATCTTTAGTGTACATGTATTAGAGTAGAATGTCAAGCGATAATGTTTCTGTTGGGCTCAATGAGAATGAATAGAAAGCTATCATATTAAATAGTAAATGGCATGGTAGAAATGGCACATAACTTGTGAAATTTTCTTAACTCTCATGTCAATAATGAATTTCTATTAAATGGAAAATTTAAAATCCACCAGAAAGATTTAAAATCTTACAGTGTAAGGTCTTACACTGTAAGATTTTATTCGTTCCTGGGTTGATTCTTTGCATTTTCTTTGATGTACATCTTGGTAGCCTCTTAAGATGTGCCAAATAAGAAAATAGCAACAATTAGGTAGTCTGTAACATTGGCTCTTTATTAACGAATAGGATCACTTTCACAGAAACAAATAAGGGCATAATACTCCCTCTAGATCAACATTAGTAATATGTCCATTAAACGGTGGAAAATTACCAGAAATATTAAATTTTTTAAAATGTGATTAATTAAAGAATGTGGGCAAATGGAACTTACAGGGTTTTTTTCAGTTGGCTATTCTGGTATTTAAAACGAGGAATAGTTGAAAGTCAGGAACAATACAAATTATCACTATTTTAATAATCAAATATTTGAATATACAGCTATCTGCATATAGTGAATACTTTCATGATGTAAAAATAATACATTTCATATTGTACTGGCTATCAGGAATTTTGCATTCTTATTTTTTCTAAATCACATTGTTGAGACTTTAAGTAATAATATTTATATGCCTTCACTGTAAAATGGGAATAAAATTATACGTACTATTATGGAGAATAAGTGAGGTGGTACATATGATATCATTTTATGTTCATTAGGAGCATAGAAGAAAAATAGAACTACATTGTTTAAGAATATTTCTAAGTAATCTTTATTATTGATATTATAAATGTTTAATTTCTTGTTTATCTCTGTCCTCTCCTTGTCCACTGTCAGAGACTGACATCAAGCATATGTTTCTTTAGTGGATATAAAGAAATGACTATTGGCCCAGAATTAGTTAGCAGTCTCCTTTGACTTATATTTTATTCTGATATCAATTACTACAAGTGAAATACCAGTAATTACATCTTACTAGTTAGTTTAGAATTGGAAAAAAAAAGTCACTGAAGTAATTTTCTGTATTCTTTTGTACACACACACACACACACACACATATTTTTTTAGTGGTTTTATTTGTTTGTTTGTTTATATGTGGTGCTGAGAATTGAACCTAGTGCCTCATACATGCCAGGCAAGTGCATTATTGCTGAGCTGCAGCCCCAGACAAATTTTCTGTATTCTTTGATAAAGAAAAACTACAAGCGTCTTAAAACAATGTGTAATTGACATGTGATTAGGCAGTAGGACCAATTGAACAGCAATGTCTAGACACAGAGAAAGCCCAAATACACATGGAATTTTAGTTTATGTTAGGTGCAATCCTAAATTACTGTAGGAAAAGTGTGATTTAGTAATTGATAGATAATTGCTCATTAGAATATATAATTTGACTCTTCATCACAATGTACAGCAAAATGAACTCCAAATGAATCAGAGATCTAAATGTAAAAACTGAAATAAAATTTACCAACCCCATAGCATTGATTAGAGTCTTGAAATAGCTCCTAGTAGCAATGATAGTGGTTTTAAAATAATTGTTTCCTATTAAAACAACCTGAGTTCTTTAGAGAAATGTTTAGTTCCAGTGTGAGGTAAGAAATGAATGTCATAAGTCTAGAATATCTTATCTTAGACCACCAGTGAAGCTTCCAAAGATTACTTGTTTTTCTAAAACTTGGGAATAAAAAGATAAACAAGCAAACAAACCAA